TGTGTATCTCCAAGAAAAGGAATGTATGGTAAAACATGGTCTTGTAGAACCTCCATCAGGTATCCATGTGCATTCAATGTCCCATTCTGAGACTATGGCTGAGGGCACGAAAATAGCGACGGCCGAGCGATGGTGATTTCTCAAAGCACTAGATAGATAGAAAGCGGTCTTCTCTAGTCGTTGTAGTCCTGTCTCGCCCTGAACCAGGTCTTCGAGTCACACTCGAGAGATTTACACCAACGTTTCTTGCAGTTTGAAGCTGACCGCGGCCATTTATGTTTAGTTCTATACACCAACAACACAGTACATAAGCAAAGGGTAATTGGCAGATGAAACTGAGAACAAAAGAAGACTAATAGTGGTTTTTAGGAATCAACAACTATGTTTTTGAAGCAATTCATTACTACAACCAAAAAAATCAAATAAAAACATATTTCCAAAATAACTTCAATTCATGGGGTGACCCTAATTTTATGGCAGGCTTCCACGAAAAAAGGGTTCACTTTCGGTGCGAATCCGTCGAAGTTGGAGGGGTGAGGGGTCGCCCTAATATTTTATATAAAATCAAGTATACGTTTTTCAATTTCAATACCTTATCTTTCTCCATGAAAAGGCTTGTCTTAATTGTACTTCAAATGTTGGAATTTCATAAACTGTAATTACTATTTAACCTTCTTCAAATCACGTTGATTTAGAATTATGAGCTAATTCTAAATCATGCGTAGGCATGGTCAAGCAGTTGTTTTGACATTGTTTTTCTTAAATGTATTTCCGGAGAGCATAATTTGTTTGGACGTGAATCTTTTTTGTCCCAGTGGTCGAAATAGCATATGAGAATAACGACAAGAAAGTTCATTCGAATAAAAGCAATACGGTCAGTTATATATACCTTCAATTCGTAATGAAAAAACATTCAATAAAACACTATTATGAGATTTTCACTAAACAGTTTAAGAAACCATAGTACTTTACAATAACTTCTAAAAGCTTGTTCTTTATTGTATAGTGAAGCACATATTGCGGTTTTGTGGAAATTTCATGATAATCTCATCTCTTGATATGTTTTCACAAACGACCATTAGATGGTGCTACGGAAATATGATATCACGATATAAAATACGTATTTTGTTACTCTAAAATTAGAAAACGGCCCAGGCGAAACTATCTGACTTACAGAGACAGGCTCGTCTGGTCATCAGTGTGAAATCAGTACCACACCGTCAACGGCCATGGATATCCTTCTAGATCTACCTTCTCTCAACATTTTTCTGGAGAGACAGGCTAGATGAACTGCAACAGACTGTTGGTTGACACTGGAAGTCACAAGCATTCTGGAAATGACCTCTGACTTTAAGCCTCTAACTGTCAACTACGAAATGCCTTATGAAGTACTATTTCCAAGTAGAGAGGACTGGGTCCTCCGGGAGAAGAAAATTTGAGGAGCAGATAGTTGTTGGTTCACAGATGGATCAAAAACACCTTCCGATTCCGATGCAGATGTTTTTATTCATCGACCCACGACAGAGATGTCAACCTGCCTACGAACCTATGCGACTGTATTTCAAGCGGAAATTTACACTATTGAATTGTTTGCGGAGAGATTGGAAGAATCTAACCTCATACACAAGTCAATAAAAATATTCTCGGACAGTCAAATGGCGTTGGAAGCTCTTGGCTCCTACCGAGCAANCAGAAAAGAGCCATCCGGTGTAACTTACATTTTTATGAACATCGGTGCTGCTAGACAAAATTATCCGGGACAGTGGTCATTGACCAGACTACTAGACTATAACAATCTTTAAAAAATGTATCTTTGGACTGATCTACTTCAACTCATCATTCATTTTGTGTCACATCCGAAATAGAAAATAATCAGGAATACCACATCACGAGGAAAACGAATTGATCTCTTTTTATCATTGATTTTCGAATGAATATAAAAGAACATGGGATAGTGAATATTTTGTTGATATTAAGGAACATATGCTCATCATTAATTTCTGTTCACAATTAGCAGAAATCTTGATCGCCATAAAACGTTTACCGGAACCACCTTGTACGCTAAATAACGTTATCAGCACCATCGAATCTAGTGATAATGTGAGCAGGAACTCCCAATTATAATCTCCAAATCCAGCACATGTCAAATCCTATGTTCGAATCGAGGCGATCACTCGGTAGTGAAGTCCATCCTTCCACGCAATGTACGAGGTGTGTCAATCCGTCAGTCGTTCCTGCGCGGTCTTATATCCTTGCAAACTCATTGACGCTGTTCACTTGTTTATGTAAATCCGAATAAATTCATAAGTATATTTTTAAAGTTGTTGCGACGATCTTGATGTAAATATGCAGTTGAACGGTCCTAAAAAGGATTCGGAACCGAGGAATATTCCGAACGTGTAAGTAGGTACTTAGTTACGAGAATATTGTTTACATGACCCTCCATGGATTTATTATTGTCCCAATTTAATCGAGGCTTCAACGCGCTTTGCACCGTGTTTTCACTCATAATGCTTCAGTTTAGGAACGTGGACGGGTTGCCTTGGACTTTCGATCAACGAACTACGAGTTTGGAGAGTCTTATTTGGAAACCGCACCATATGATATAAATTTTGTCACTGACGTTATCTATTTGGGCATTTGTAAAGTTTTGAAGACTCTTAGATCGAGGTTATTGTTTATTTATTAATTGTATAACATTGGACGCCTATTTCTCGCAAATAATTCAAATTAGACAAAGAGCTACTATTTAGTAAGGAAGGACATTTTATCACCTATTTCCATGGAGAAAAATCTAATATAACTGCAGAANACTTTAGTGTAGTGGCACGGCAATTTTTGGATGAAAATTACCATAATCGCTGGATTGGGAGAGCAGGCCCACACCCATGGCCACCTCGCTCGCCCGAAATGAATCCCTTCGATTATTTTCTCTGGGGACACCTCAAAGCGTTGGTATACAAAACTGCTATTCAAAGTGAAGAGGCTTTACGGAATAAAATCATTAATTCATGTGATATAATAAAAAATACGCCAGGTATTTTCAGAATAGTGCGAAATTGAATGATGCGGCGGCTAGACGGTTGTATTGAAGCCGAAGGAGGTCATTTCCAACACTTAATTTAGTGCAATTCGTTAGTCTAGATGTTAATATTATGTAATATTTGTTGTTATTGTTACATAATTAGTAATGAAAAATTGTAAAAATAATAATTTCCAAAAGAAACATTCAATTCCCCATATTATTCCTTGTGAGGTACAGGGATATGCAATTAGGCCACCTTTTTATTAAAAACCAAGCAAGATACAAAAAAATTCAAGAGACAAAAAAGTTGTATTTCTAAATCTGTTAAATATATGGTACATACTTAATTAACACCCTGTAATAATGTCAGGATGGACAAGTCCGCTTTCTGCTTCGATAAGTTTGTTGGGGGTTAAAATGGCACCAATATATCTTGGCACAATCATGTCGCTGGAATTGCAAAGGCTGTATGGAGCTCCACGTCTAAGCATACCCTGAAGCTGCTGGATTCTATCCAGAAAAGAGCCATCCGCTTGATTGGAGACGCGAACATCACTTGCGACCTTGATAGTCTGGAACATCGAAAAAAGGTTGAATTTGTTTTTTTTTTATAGATACTTTCACGGGAAGTGTTCGAGTGACTTGGCATATTCGATTCCACCAAGAGCGGTACATATCAGAAGTACCCGATGGACTGTGGCTGCTCATCGTTTTGAGGTTCAACTCAGTACATCTTGAACTTCACTGTTTAAGAACTAATTCATTTGGAGAACTGCGTTGATGGGGAATAAATTACCCAAAGAACGTTTTTATAAAAGGATTTAATCTCCAGCGATTCAAATCGCTACTTTCGCACAGGCACCGCTCTTAGAGCGTCTTAAGGATTTCCCCGTAGTGCTTGTTTTTGACTTTATAAAAATTCAATGTCTCGGCAACGACTGAGTCTTTTAGATGTTAATTTTAAAAATTCGTGAATACGATTTGCATGAATGGATTTCCAATTTTTGTGAAAAAACGTTCTACACGTTTCAACATGGAAAGATTTCGATGATTACTAGTATATGCTTATCAGTGAAGCGGATAATTAGTTTTATCAACCTTTTTGAGGTAATTCTTGATAAACAGTAGTGTTACTAGTCCCTGATACCTAAAGTCAACATATGGAAGCAGATTCTATAATTAACACTTTTTCATACCAGGATTAAAAATATTGATATATAATTTTGTGAAATAGTTGAGACTACTGAAAAAAAAAGTACCTAAATGGGAAAGAAAATTTCTTTCTCACTAAAAGATACAAAGTCCATGCAGAAAGTTGCTACACAAATTGAGTAATAAGTGTATTTGGTATTTAAATCCATTTATTTTCTATTTGAAATCTAATATTCCGGAATACATTCCGAATCTAATTCTTAATCGAGAAGCAACGTCAATTTTATTAAAAACGATAATTTACTGCTTTCTTTAACATATTTTTAACGTGCTCATTATTTGAAATGATAAGTTAATCACTAATTATAGTCACCTCAAATGTAGTTAACACTAATACATTAGTAGTCTTTATCTTGTGGATATTCGTTATTAGGAACATGCTTTTTCATTATATAAAATTTATTCATGAAGAATTTTGTTTCATCTTTCTTCAGAAATAAATGAATAACTAAACTATTAAAATAATAGAAACATTATGATGGCAAGAAGAATGAATATTTATAAAAAAGACAGGTAATATTTTAAGACGATGATAGCATTTATTAACATCATTCATCATATAATTTTCCAAAAAAATGTCATCGGTGTAAGAATACTCTGGAAGTTGAAGTGTTTTGAATAAAATTCAGGTTTACTATTTCAAAAGATTTTTTTTCAATCATGTTAAACTCTTTCAAATACCTAATCCAAAGCGAATTTTACATTTCATTTCGTAAAAAATCATCAATCAATAGCAAATTTCAATTCTCGTTTTTTTTTTCAGAATTTTTGTCAACAGAAGTCTACATTTGGAGAATATCAAGTTCTATGGATTTGATATGGATTATACGTTAGCTGGTAAATATGGAAAGCCATTTCATCTTAGATAAATACAAACACGATTTTTCTTTCAGAGTATAAGTCTCCTGAATATGAAAAACTAGGATTTGATTTAATTAAACAACATATGGTGTCCATTGGATATCCTCAAGAAATATTGGAATTTGAATATGACCCTACTTTTGCTGTGAGGTTGGTATTATATCAATTTCTACTAGTCTTGTGTAAAAAAAGTAAAGACAAAAAAGAATAATCAAAACTCATTCTTTCTAATTGTTATCAAACAATATTATGATCACTTCATTGGAATATTTGTTCAATTCTAAGATTCATTACTCTGTCTAAATATATTTCAAGAAATGGTTTAAATCGTCGATTTTTATGAATAAACTGTAGTGATCTTAGAATGCTGGGTCACAAGATATCTCATTCTGGATAAACATTGACTTATTAACAAACATATATGAAATATTACTATGAATTGAAAATTATTTATATGATTACTCATTATAGAGTTGAATTAATTTATTTATTGGAGGCTTCATTTGTTGTGGTGTAAACAATTTTATAAGTCAAGAAATTGAATCGTAACGCAATTAAAAGGTGAATTCAAAACAATCTGGTTGACTAGTCACCTGAAATACTCTTATATCCTTTTTTATCATTTGTTTTTTATGATTTGTTCAAAATAACTCAGATCACTAGACATAATAGTCATTATGTTTTTTTTTATGTAATTTTGAATAAAACATATTGAAAATATTCAAGTTTAGGAATTCTGAATTTCATAATTGTTAAAATGTAACTCCTCAGTTAAGGGGTCGTTCAAGTATTACGTAACGCAATTTTTGAAGATTTTTAACCCTCCCCCACCCTTATGTAACGAGTCGTAACGTTTTCCAGTACCCCCCCCTTCCCCACCTTTAACGTTACGTAACACCCAAGTGACCATTTTTACCTAAAAGTCACAATTATGTTGACCAAAGTACTGGCAAGTCGCTGAAATGCCTTTGTTATTGTTTTAATCGCGTTTGCGGTAGTAATGAATAAAACAAAACTATACGTGATGTGTATATTGTTTATTTTATTCATATTGTTATTCAATAAGCACGTATAAATTGAATTAACTTTTACTTGAGTATGCTAAACTAGGCTAAACTGATATACTTACATTTAATTACACCGTTTTCTTGATTTGACCCTGTCCTCACATACATTTTTGGCTTCATCATTTATTGTTCCTCTCGTGCTTTCTCCTATTTTAGCTTTATTTTCACTAATAAACTCTTAAAATAAAATTACATACTTAACTCAATCTTTGGCAATGCAATAAGAAACGGAAAGCTAACTGAAATGAAATGATATCGTACGTATTCTTAAATAAAATAAAAAATGAAATCATCCATAATTGTTGCAAGCGTGATGATCACTCCAATATGCTTCTCCGTATCACACATTTAAAACAATGATGAATACTGACAACTTGAACAATACGGTCTAGGAAATCACCCTAAAACATAAAACGAAAAGGCTAACCAATTTGTGGGACTTCAATTTCCTAGTTCTATATTTGGATTAAAAAAAAATAATTTTACGTAATACTTTGTTCGAAACCCCCTCCCGCTCCTGTAACGCATCGTAACGATTTACAAGACGCCCCCTCCCCCAAATTGCGTTACGTAATACTTGAACGACCCCTTATGTTGATTTAGTTTTATTTACAGGTTTTGATTATTCTTTTATTGTCGTAATTCATTAGGTTGGATACCTTTTATAAACACTTTTTTTTTCTCAGAGGTTTATGGTTTGATTCCTTATATGGAAACCTGTTGAAAGTAGATGCCTATGGAAATATACTTGTATGTGTACATGGTTTTGAATTTTTGAAACAGTAGGTATTTGATTTTGAACATCTAAATGGTTATGAATTGTTTTGTATTTTTTCAGTTCAAGAGTATACGAGTTATATCCTAATAAATTCATAAATCTTGATGAATCAAGAGTATACGTACTGAATACTTTATTCAATCTACCAGAAACATACCTACTAGCATGTTTGGTAGACTTTTTCACGAATTCTAAAGAGTATACAAAAACAAACACAGGAGTCATTTGTGGTGAACTTCTCATGTCATATAAATCTATATTTCAGGTGAGCAAAATTTTCTCATGTCATATAAAATCTATATTTCAGGTGAGCAGAATTTTGTCAAAGTTATGTAATTATGTCTTCGAAATTTCCATGATATGTTTATGACAAAAAAATACATATTTCAGGATGTTAGGAATGCAGTCGATTATATTCACTTACAAGGTGATCTTCAAAATAGAACCATTGAAAATTTGGAAAAGTATGTGAAAAAGGATGAACGACTTCCAATGTTCTTGACCAGGTTGAAGGAAAGTGGAGCCAAGACCTTTCTTTTGACAAACAGCGGTTATAAATTCACGGACAAAATAATGACTTATCTATTTGATTTTCCTCACGGAGCAAGGGTAAGCGAACTTGAATGTGTGTGTATTAACTGTTTCGACTCATCAGATAAACTTTCAGCCTGAAGATCCGCATCGAAACTGGAAGACTTATTTCGATATTGTAGTAGTTGATGCCTGCAAACCGCTCTTTTTCGGAGAAGGAACGATTCTTCGGCAGGTCGACACTGTCACCGGTAGACTGAGGGTCGGTGTTCACACTGGTCCCCTACAGTCAGAACACGTCTATTCGGGGGGCTCCTGCGACGTTTTCACAAAGTTCATTGGTGCCAAAGGAAAAGATGTCCTGTATGTGGGCGACCACATTTTCGGAGATATTTTGAAGAGCAAGAAAATTAGAGGGTGGCGTACTTTTCTCATAGTTCCGGAGCTTGTAAGGGAGTTGCACGTGTGGACCGACAAGTGTCAGTTGTTTGAGGAACTGCAAGGCTTGGATGTCAAGTTGGGTGAAATGTACAAGTGAGTTTCATAAACTTCTAGAATGCACATCATGAATATTTTTGAAGATTTGTCTTGCAGGGGACAACTCCTTTCCTCCTGCCCTTCTCTGGACACATCCGTGCTTTCATCGCAAAATCATTTTAGGGATAAAAATATTTTGTAATTTACAAAAAAAGCATTGCTCTGATATATTCAACTTGGATTCATCATTTATAATTTGTTCAAAACTAAACGGGATTAAATAATCATCAAAAGTATCTATTAGTCCACTAAAACAATGTTTCAGTGAGGGCATTAAAACAAATAAAAGCTAATAATTTTGTATAATGATTTATTTTTCGACAAGTTTGGTTGAAAACTCCGAATCTGATAAAAAGTAGATAAAAATAAACTTTGTTCCATTCTAGAAATACTCCTGACTTGCTTCCCACTTGAGAATCAAAATGTAAATTGATATTTTTTCAGAAATTTGGACAGCAGTGCAAAAGAAAAACCAGACATTTCAAAGCTTAGGGCAGCCATTAGAGATGTGACACACAAAATGGACATGTCTTATGGCATGATGGGAAGCTTATTCAGGTCTGGATCTAGGCAAACATTCTTTTCTTCTCAGGTAAAGCTCTTGGTATTCCATGTATTGATACTTTCATATTGAAGTTGCAATTTTTTTATATGTTTTAATTTACCAGTGTTGTAATTGTATAATTTATGAATTTTATTATTTAAAATAATTCACCCTTCTGGGTACTTATGATGTCCAAACAGTACACCTTTGGTGTAGTAATGAATATCACTGGAGTTTTTTCCCAACACCAACACCTCGACACGTGTTTCGATCTTGAGAGGAAGATTTTAATCTTCCTCTTAGAAGATGATCTCATTGATCTTCCTCTTTGAAGATGATCACTTGGTGAACGAAACACGTGTCGAGGTGTTAAAAATAACGATTTGGTGTTGAGAAAAAATTCCAGTAATATCCTTCTGGGTAACAATAAAAAATCCTATTATTGTTGAAGATTTTTTCAAACTAATGAAACTTATTGTAGGTTGTAAGGTATGCTGATTTATATGCCGCATCACACCTCAATCTCTTGTATTATCCCTTTTCGTACATGTTCAGAGCTCCGGCCATGTTATTGCCCCACGAATCAACAGTAGCACACGAACAACATTTTGTTTTGGAGTTACTTCCTCATGACCATATCTCAGATGCTCAAAACGAGGAGAAGAATAGCAAGAGGGTGAGCTTTTGATAGTTCCATAGGAAATGATAAATGACGATGATGACCATTTTTTTGATCTTTTTTTAGGCTTTAGAAAAAGCTCAGAGTCAGATCCCACATGTACGGCCAGCCACCCCGCAGTCTGTAACACATAACCACGATGAGGACTTCTCTGACGATGACAGTGATGACAAAATCTCCCGAGTCAGTGAAGAAGTAAGAAACGATTAGGAGTTGAGGAAAAGTTGTTTGTGCAAATGTACCATAAGCTTTATCAAATCATTTTGAAATGCACAAAGATCACAAATTTTTGAAGTTTTTTAATCGTTGAATTGCTCATGAATTTAGTTTATTGATAAATTGTGTGACTTCTTCAATAACTGCTGAATTGTTTAGCCAATAATGTTATAAAGTTTATTGTTTGTTGTATTTTATATCTTTATTTAAAATGTCATTGTTATTTTTTCATAGGTACTGTGGAAAAATTCAAAAATATGTAGAGCATACACAGAAGTTTTTTTTTTCAAATAGAAACTGGGAGAAAAAAACCTTTTGAAACAATTACTTCCACATGAACATTGAATTTTACAGGAACGCAAAAGACAGTTTATAATTATATTTTGTGACATTTCTCATTTCAATTCAATGTGGAAAGTTGAATGTTAAAAGTAAAACATTTCTGTCATTATTCTATTCTGGATTCTCCGCAAATTACAGTCCAAATCGCCAGAGACGTTGAAAGTGATTTTGAAAAAATACTTCTTAAATGTTGTAAAATCAAACCATCTTCAAAAGAACTACTATGTACAGTGTTAAAGGATTCTTTCACCTCAGCTGTTTAGAAAAAAGAAATAATGTGTCAAAAATAGATAGTTACAATGTCTTATGTTTCAAAGGATGCAGTATGAGGGCAAAAGAAGAGAAACAAGATTATTTAGCATTTGAAACTAACATCAAAACATCAGCTTAATTGATAAGAGATAAATATCGAATAAATAGACAATAAAAGAACAAAAGAATTAGAGACATTGTCCAGCAACATAGAACTGGAAGCTATCAAGAGAAATCTGCTTACATTGATTGAACCACACAGGATAACTTACACATGTACATATATACAGTTAATAAAAATTATTTGTCAAGAATAATGAGTGCAGGAGTAAACTATTGATCAAAATGGCATTGTTGTTGCATATGTTACAAGTAAAAGATATCAAATCAGAAGTAAGGGTACTTACGCAGAAAAAGTAAAAGATCCATCCATACACAATTCATTGACATTCAAGTGTGGTTTGCAAAATTTCATGATCGATTTGGGAACAATAGAAAACAAAACCGGTGCAAATCATTAGGAGTTCATATCGATTACACAGTATTGATTATAAACATATAGACAGGTTTATGTTCACTACAATTCTCACTATAGTACATTCGATAATATCTGAGAGTGAATGCTGACAGTTTTGGACGCTTCACGGTTCTCGAACAACTAGCTTTCATGTTGTATAGCATTTTATTCAACACGCTCTCGAAGTAAACTGAAGAATATCACGACTAACCCATCTACCAGGGGCTTCGAACTCCCAACAGAAAATAATGTAATATTTTTTCCTACAGAAAAATCCAAGTCGGTCCTATTGGTGGGTGATGGAACTATTGACGGTATAATTCAAATAATGTATATCTATTGAAACTGCCTTCAAAAAACCAATGTTTTTCGATCCCCTTTAACTAAATACTTATTTCAATAAATTGATGGATGTAGTTGTATAAGTTTGAAAATGTCCTTATAGGATGAAACTGCAGTAACGTTGGTTACATAAAAGTGGTAAAAAAAATAGAAAATTTAATTTATCTTTTCTTGATTCAATACTTATTTGTGGAGAATGTCTTGATTACTACTGGACATATTGTCACATTTGTCTTGTTGATTTTGTATATTCATTTATTTAATTCGTTGAGAGGAAATGATTTGAATGCGGTACGCTTATGGCCCTAATGTTTAGCGTGACTCACGGTCGGTGGTAGGTTAAATACACATTTCTAGAAAACGCAACGCAGGATTTTTCATGATATATCACCTTGAAGCAGTTTTCATCTTTCAATTTATCGAGTAATATATAGAGGATTTCATTTGAAAAAATTAACTTCTGACCACTTTTATGCATAATGGAAACACTAGTAATTTAGCACATGGAGTCGATTTCTTGGTGTTAATTAAATATTTCGAGTTTCTCCAAACTATCATCGAAATAACGTATTCAAAAAAAACTTAACAGTAAAGACAGGCCCGAAGAAGCCATTGAATGGCGAAACACGTGTTGCGTTTTTGTAAAACTGTGTAGTGAAAATTTCTCAATAAAGTGCATTTTGCGTTTTTGTAAAACTGTGTAGTGAAAATTTCTCAATAAAGTGTATTTTGAATACGTTAGTTATGGATTTTCATCAAGTATCGGACANCATTAATAATAATATGTCAACAGTTTGTATCTGATCAACTGATTAAAAAAAGATTGGTAATCATTTTTTTATTTTCTAACCATTTTTAACTAAATTTTCAAAACTATATACAGGGGAAGGGGAGTCCTCTTGAAGAAATTAACCACCTTGATTAAATACAAACCTCACGTTCAACGATATTAGTCCATCTCTGAAACAGTTTAGTGATGACCAGAAAAATACAACAAACGATCAAACAAATGAAAAATAACGGTTTTGGCATAAGTGCTATGTACATTTACTCTAACCACGTTTCCTGAACAGTTTTAGTCTATATTTGTACAAATGTAAGGGAAAAAAGTTCAAAATGTGACAAGTTTTGGTTATTTTTGGTTTCAGTTATTTGTTTTATGAACGAATTTGACACAGGCACCAGATATATAACAGTAATAAGCAGGTTTTGCTGAATATTGAATTTTCATCATGCTCGATATTCAAAACTGAAATGGAATAGATTAGATAACAAAAAAACCAGCAGTTAGCAAATAGTCAAAATTAACAATCGATACTAAACAAAAACAGAGGCCAAACAAGTTCAAACAAAAAAGCGAACAAACAAAAAGCACGTGTTATTTCTGGATATTCTAATTTGAATAAAAATATATTGTTTAAATATTACAAATGAAAATGAGACTACTGTTGAGTTTATAGAGAAGTAAGAAACTAATGTTTAAGACTTCAAAGTTAATTGACTGGCTCCGAACATCTTATCGAAGAGGCAAAAACGTCAATAATTAATGTTGGATTCAATAATGTTAAGGACGCCAATTTCTTTAAAATTCATACTCCATGGTCACAAAATTCAAATAACAATCGCCACTTTCAGTACAACAGAAACATCTATGTTTCAAAATTGTGCATATTTTTATCAGGCAAAGATAAAAAACATATTAATCCTGCTTTGATTGAATAATTTGTGTATTGTACAGATCCGGCAAAACACGGACTAATTTTGGTCTTGTCATACAGGGCATGCAGCATCAATTAGAAAGAATAGTTAAAAATAATTAATAACGTTCAAAAATATTTCAACACCCTTTGCATACAAATGACAATCACCATCATCAATAGTTACAGTTTTGACACTTGAATTTTGTTTAGCATCAATATATTTTTGAAAGAATTGATATTCTGTACTGTAATTGTTCCTATATCCAGCCACACATAAATGAAAAAACTAAAGGTCAAGAGAAGCCAACGAAAACTAACCGCAGACTGGCACAACGAGATCCGATCGCACATAACTGATGTTATCAAGCATCGTCTGGTTGATACCGACATATTACTGCACCCCCAAGCAAGCAACCAGAAGAAGAAACCAAAAGAAACCTTCTGCACTGGAAGCACTTATGACGGTCAGTGGGACTACCTAGGTTTTGCAGGCCATGGCACTTACACGTTTCCACACGGGACAAAGTACGAAGGTGACTTTTGGGACGGACAGTTTCATGGAAATGGTACAATCACATACCCTGGAGGGCAACAGCTGATTGGAACTTGGAAACAAGGAAAGTAAGAATTCCATGACATTGTATCGGACACCAAAGATTTCTAATTCCAACTGTGAACGAAATTAATGTTCAAATTACATTGACCGCTAATTTTGCGTTGTGGATGTCACAAGAGCATACGGTAACATGTTTTGAAAAAGTATTTCAGAATTTGCCAATCAAATTATTTCGAATTCTCTATTTTGTTGTGGTTCAAAAGTTGAACAATATTAAACTAAGTATGGACGTTCAAGAGAAATATTTTTACTTTGGAATTCCATTTTCTTCATTTTACATTCTATGTTCTTGTCATTATTTCTAGACCATTTTCCAGGATATGATATCTTTTATAAGAACCAATGGTTTCAGACTAATGGAGTGGTCTTACAAATTCATAGATGGCTTACAGTTTGGAAAATATCTTAATTATTGCCAGCTACCCGATAGGAGATTCCAAATAGAAAAGGATGCCAAACTGCAACCACCAGAAAAAGAACTACTAACCAATTGCCAACCAACACGAGAGTTGCCCAAAAACTGCTACGATACTGTGGACGGCTACTACAATCCGACCACAAAACTGGTTTATGGATACGATAATCGTATATTGAGAGTGGTAACGGTTGAGGAAGATAAATATATCAAAGATAAGTACAGACATGAAACAGACAAACCAGCAACTAACATCGAGGGCCTATACAAATATTGGACTAGTGGAAGAAAAAATGAAATCGAGAAATTGAAAGGAGTGATAGAGAAAAAGGAAATAAAATCAGAAGACACCATAACAGAATCTTCCACACAGAAAAGCATGTCCGTCTACTCGTTTCACATAGGAACACATTAATTTAAGATTTATTTTTGTCTAATATACAATTAATGAAAATATATACGTTTTTATAAAGATTTCAAATTTTTAAATATCAAGAGTCAAAAATTCAAAGTTGAATATAATTTTTGGTTACAGATCAACTACAAAAATTTTGAAACGTTGAGGGATAATTATGGATACATTTTTAAAACTAAACATTTTTTAAATATTCTCAGTAATGAATCATTTATGTGGAAGTGATGATCTCTAGTAATTCTACTATTCTAATTAAAACAAACATAATGAGAATGATCAGAAATTATACATAAAGGGAATTTTAAAAGTATTGTTGCTTGAACACCATAAAAATTGAAATTGAAATTTTTTAGTAACATCAGTTTGAGGATTTTGCTACAGAAAATGGCAATAAAATGTTCATTGAATCTAACATTATACGGGAGCTGCCAACCATCAAACAATTAAAATTATGTAAATATATCCAGAAAGAATGCCTACATTTTTTGATATTTCTGATTATTTTCCCTCAAATGTTTCTTTGGTTATGAAGCTAGAATTTAGCTGTAAATTTTTACAGTGAGCATAACACAAGTGATGATTTTGATCATTGTTATATATTTTATTTACCTGATAAGTTTCTACCTCTTTGGGAAAATAGTCAAATTAATTACTGCCAGCAATATCAAGTATTGACTCTGTCACAAAGAATTCATAAAGTAAACATTTAATTGCATATAATCAAGTGATTCACTATTCTGAAAACGCGTGTTGTTTGCTCAAAGATTTTGAGAAACAAATGTATTTCACTCAATTACTACTTTTAACAATTTATTTATTCACTGAATATTTTTTACAACCAAAAATAGTATTTCGAGCTGAACGGCATATTAAATCTTTCATTATATTAAAAACATCAAATCAAATAGTAATCTTCAATCAGTTGTACTCACTTTCTGTTTAATTTCAATCAATTTTCATTCATATACTCCTTAAATTAATGAATGAAATCTCCCATGAATAATTTGAGTGATATACTTCAATTACATACAACTGAATTTAATATAAAGAGGGCATTGATATATGACAGGAGTGTCACTTGACTTTTCAAATTCAGATATCAAAAAAATACATCAGCACTATTTTTCCCTATCTTGCAATTGCACTGCATGCCCTGTAAAGTCGACCACCCTCATCGATTCCCACCCATGTTTGTACATAAGAATACATTTCTCAAAGAAAAACTAAATTGCAACATTTTTTCCCTCTAAATTTTCATCCTCAGGCAACCACCAATATCAAAAACAAAACGCTCCGTCTAGGGCCGGAAAAGGCATAACAAAACAAAATCTACATTAATATTGGATTAGGATTGCAAAACAAGGGCCAGTCGCTCAAAACGTTTCCCGGTTTTGGGAAACTCAAAGAAAAGTCTACAAACCCAAAAAACGTTGATGAGCGGACCCAAACGTTTACTTTTTTCTTCATATTTATATATACAACCAACAAAGAAGCTAAAAAGGACATCGTATTTATATGAATGTATATACCTAGTAATTTTAATAAATTGAATAAAACTAAAGACGACAAATGAGTGGCAATTGAAAATTAGAGTACCACAGTATCATATTTTATAATATGTATTCTATCCAAAATTTCAATCATATTGTTCAGTTTCATATTTGCACACTAGTTCACACGCGCCGATTTTTCAAAGCGTCCTTTTGCGTCACTATCGGCGAGTAGGGGGCGTGTGGCGTGCCCTAACGCTGTGGCGGGGCTCATATCTTCTGAATCTTTTCGCCCACAACAACCGGGTTGTTGCGTCGAATCTCCTGGGCGCCCATCTCCCGGTAGTTGAAGCTGCAGTCGTGTTTGTCACTGTACCGGTGGATCGCACAAAACAGGTTCCCGCAACGGCACTGGAATCCTACAAAACAAAAAAAATTCGTTAATTTTTTTTAAGCTTCATGTCAACAAGTAAATTCATTTTTTTTAAACTCAACATAGATCTCTCAATAATTGAAGTTTTTCATTAAATACATGTTGAACACATCAATATATATCCTGATGATAATCTCCTGATGAAGAAACATGAGTCAAAAAACAGTATTTTTCGGGTGCGGAAAAAATGTTCAACAAATTCATTTTATGTCGGAAGCTACATTCTCAGGCCACATACACATAAATGCTGTATTATTCTACAAACATGAAAACTAAGGTTGTAAACCTATAGCGATTTCAAGTAAGAAAAACCGTCTCAGTTGGAATTTTGGACACTGGCTTTACTTGTTGCAAATCATAAATTATTACACATTACTCAAATGAGGGATCCTTAGACAAACTCTCAGTTTCCGATATTAGTTTGTAATCCTGTACTGCCTTCATTTTATGTTGAGTGATAAACATAAAATTTCCATTTAACACACAATGAGCAGGTCTCTTGAGAGTGGTGTTGAATATGTCCAGATATTTCTCATATTCTACAGGTAGGTCTATACCAGACTGTTCAGCATTGTTGAGTCAAGTAAGCTCGGTACATTTAACTCACAGAGGTTTTTTTTCTACTAAAGTGGTTTGTATAGAGAGGAAATATTCATATATGCTTCTCGACAAATTTTACTTGTGGGTCTGTAAGTTTCCTGATATTTGTACCATGTCTGTCTCTTTTATTAGAATGCGGTATTAACAGTTCATTTTGTTGCTGGCCATCTTCATCTGAAATTTCAGGACTTTCATCTCTAAAATCATCAAGATCAATAGGCCTCTTTCCAGAGCGGTCTACCAACACTTTTTTTTGCCGATAGCAAATATGTCCATAAAAGATTTTAGATACTCTTACATGTTCCCCTTCCTCATTTTTCATGTGTAAGTTACCTTCCTTCTGCTTGAATTTTCATCATGTTTCTTCTTATAACGTCTTTTACACTTACTACTTTTTGTTAGACCAAATAGAAAGGCATATTTTGAGTTATAATTTCCCTTCTCTTACTTAGACAATTTATTATTGCAAATTCAATCTCTTACTTTTTATATTTACACTACTTAAATGTATGTGTTCGCCAACAGATGTTAATTATTTTTATAGTCTCTCTCTTTCTAAAGAATACTTGTGAATGGTCATTTCTAATATCTCTTGAGACTCACCTGTCAAGCCCACCTTCTTGCGGCAATTATGGCATCGGTTCTTCTTCTTCTTGGAGTCCTTTTCTCCATCTTTATCTTCGCTACCCGCGTCTGAATCGGCGGATGCGGCGACGGCTGCAGCTGCCTCCGCCGCGATCGATTCTGCGGCTGCGCTGTCGGCCGCCGCCGACGATTGCGCGGGACTCTGGTTCGAGGACTCTTCTGACGTCTGTAACAAAATAAACTTTTTACTGGAAAATCGGAAAAGATCCGACAACATTGGCAACATTGTAAAAATACTCGAATATTCATGAGGGATGAAAATACTTCCTGGCACTTAAAATTGACGTACTAGGTGTGACAAATTCGTGAAACAACGAAAACCTATTAGTATCTCAGAATTCTACCAACTAACCTCACTGGAAGTGAAAGTCACCTCTCCGTCTCCGGGAGGAGGACGGGAAGGTACGTCTCCTTCCCGAGACTCAATGAATCTTTCTGAAGTGACTTCTCCTAAAGTAACATCAGACAAAGATGATTTCGATACTTTATGAATGTTGTGATCAGATGATGACATTTAAGTGACTGCGAATTTTGACTGACACTATAGGAGCAAGTGACACATTTTGAAATGATGTTTCTTGGCAAAGATGAATGTAAAACTATACAGGAAGGTAAAAAAAAAATTTTCGAAGTGAATTTGAAAAACTCATGAATTAAATTCAACTTTATTTTGTTCAAACTTGCATTTGCTGTAATAACCCAAATTGAGGAACATTCCCCATTGAGCCACAGTAGAATAACACTACCCTATACAAATTACTATAAATAAATTACAAGCCATTTACCAATTTTTGAAATAAATATGATATGAAATGAACAACAATGTTTACTGAATGCAAAATACAATAAAGGTCTATAGACAAACTTAGAGGAAATTTGTGGAAAGGAAACAACATATATTACCTTATTGAATAAATGAATTTGAACTCATTTGATTCGATAAAAACATTTTTTTATATTTCATTTAGTCATTATAAGTTTGATGTAAAGAAGCAGAGTATCAAAAACTGTATCATATAAAATATGAAATATTTTTTCCTTATCCAGAATAGTATTTTATAATACTATATGGGTGAATACTGTCAAAAAGCTAATTGATTGAAATGTTGACCACTTTTAAAGGAAAATAAGTCAAATCATTTCTTAGATTTACTACCTTTGGTTAGTACCTAAAACTTGACGAAATATTTGTCTAAAAGTTCACTCTTTCATCTCCAATTTTTACCTGGAGATAGAGGTTCCATGAGTTGGAAATTATCCAAATTATATTATAAAAAACATTTTTGAGTTTTTTTTAACACTTCTGGACACCTAATGAGAACAAAAACTAAGTCTCTAAAATAGATGTAATTTTTACAAGTGGAAATTTCCTGACCTAATCTATTTCTTATAAGCATTACTTACTTTTGTGGAAAGATCTGTAACGGGCGAGGGTTGAAGATGTCCAAATGTGGGCTGAGCCATAGTCGTGTCTCTAAGAGCACTCAGACTAGAGGGGGCTGTGGGAAGTTGTTGCTTCTTCTTCAGATTTTCCTGAAACAATAAAAAAGGTCTTCGTAAAACTAAATAAGAGTGAATTCTCATCAACACTCGTTTCTATTATTCTACCTCAGCTCTCATAATCTTACGCACATAGGGCACATGACTCTACGAATGAAAAATACAGTCGAGATGACCATATCTGGTCCAACCATCATTCGAGAATCAACCCCTAGCGATTTGGTTTACATCACAGAAGATTCAGTTTGTAAATTTAATGCAAACGTTAAACTAGTGTCTTCTAACCCTCTTCGGGAAATAGTCCACAGTAGCCCCTGCTTGTTGTAAGAGGTAACTAAAAAGGGGGTTTAGTCCAGTGGTGTTATGCAATCTGTGTCGAAGGATGAATGGTATCTGGGCCTGAGCAGGTATCACCAACAGAGCCACTGAGCCTTACATTCATGCAGGGTGTCCATGAATGTGGACAACCCTTTCCCCATACTCATGGGCACTTAATGGACCATAACAAAAAAATGAGAGGACTCTGAGCAACTACCCTGATTCGCAAATAGAGTAGTAGAAGGCAACATACAAGGAGGCTTTGATGGTCCTTACGAAGGTTATAGGAAATATTGTGGGATGCAGAGACCCTAAAGAACATGCAAAATTATTCAAGTAGGATTGAGTATACTGCCGTGAAGTAACTTCTGTACCAGAGACTTCACGACGGTCAAACTAAAGAAGGCTAGTGAGAGAGGATCTGAGGAAATCGTCATTGGATTAGCATAAATCCCTTACAATAATCAGAAGACACTACCATCCAGGGATATAGACAAGTTGGCAAAAGCCTGGCAAGCAGAGAGATCACATCATAATTAGCTCTGATGCCAACAATTTAGATATTTTAAACGTAGGCAAAAAACCTATCCTTGTTCAACACGAGGCGTAGGGAAATGATAGACTTAAGTAACTATGTTGAGAAATAGAATGTGTCTGATGAGGAAAGTTGCAGATCATCGGTATATAAAACTTTGAAATCAGAGAGTATCATACCTCGGTTATATCTTATCAAAACTACTAGAAAACAAACTGGAAAGGCTATAAGGCAGCCCTGGAAACTACAGGCTAAAAGTTACAACGAACATTGTTCCACTGTCAACCAGAGATCAAACTGGAATGTTCCTGGTGGAATGAAGATGTGGCTCAGATGGGACAATAAACTAAAAAAATAATGTATAGGGATCAATACAAAAGGTCCCCAACTGATTACAACAAAGCTCTGAGGAAATCTCTGAGACTCGTGGAGAAGGCAATGTGAGGATGTCGAAGAGACCCAAGTGTTCCTCAGACTCTATAAGATACTCTCTAAGGTTTCAACAAATTATCTTGAAAGTGGTAGATGCCTGAGCTCATGAGACTGCAGTGTTTTCCAAATACTTGATAGAAATGCACAAGTCTGCAGTCTCCTAATAAATTTAAAAAAACTAGTATCTTTTACCTTGAAACACAGCGAGCAGAGTCCATCTGTTGCTGGACTTCCGTAGAAACCACATCCGGAGCGACACAGCGCCTGCATGGGGTTTGATTCACGCTCCATGGTTTTATCAGGATCTGTTGCGAAAGACACCACTAGAAGATTTTCGCCCTTTCGGTCAAAATGAACCAAGTGATCGCACTTGATGTGGACGTACCCTGTCTATCAGGAAGACACCATGTACTACACGCAGGATCTGAAACAAAAAACGCCATAAATATTCAATGCACTATCTCCAGAACAAAGGTTATGAATTATTCCATCCTCAGTAGTTTTTCAACGTCCAGATGTGTATGATTGCAATGTATTCACTGGCAGTCCGACATAAAACTCATTAATTTGGCAATTGAATTGTAAAGTGAATATATTGCAATCGTAAATAAACTTATAGGAAGAATATTGAAAATACTACTAATACATATCGGTGCACATCTTGTACTTGGAAAAGTAAAAAATTCAGGTTGGTTTCAATGAACACAAGAATGGAAACATTATAAGATCTTTTCTATCTTTTTTCAAAGTCACTACGTCACTATCTGTGGATATCATCAGTGATGTTATATTTGAGTAAAAAACTACCCTTTTGCAATTATCAGTATGTACTTTTGAATCCACACTCGTATTTTAAATGGATTAATCTATGACAGTGACCTCTGTAGTCGCTGCCCAATACATCAAACCAACAAAAAATACCACACATCAATATCACTAAATTCAACAAACAGTTTATGAGAGCACAGGTACGGAAAGAACAGTTTTCAAGCAACAATCTGAACTGAGAATTCATCTATGACTAAGTTTATTCGCCTTGACCAGTTTCTCCATCCATTTTTCTTGACAGGAGACTTGTTTACAAACAAACCATCACGATGTTAATATGGATGCTTCAAAATTGATAATGGTAAGTGAAATCAAAAGAAAATGTGCAAGCAAATTAGGAACAGATATCGTTATGAAAATACTAAAAAAAAAGGTAAAGATTTATCAATCAATTACTGTTTTCGACGAACATGAATCACGTTTTACCCATGTGGATTACAAGTACCTATTCATTATGTATATCTGAAATGTATGAGTCAGCCGGAAATCCAAAAATGTATTGAAATGACAGGTCTCCATTACCTTACAAGGAATAGATACTTACAGATTACTAGTCAATTACAGTACACAAAATGAGATATGGCAGGTAGCAGACCAAGAGTCTGTTTTTATATAGTTTACTTTCAAAATCCATCACAACCCTAATACGGCACTGTTCTAATGTTACTTGAGCATAAGAACGCAAATCAAAGGTTCTAAACGGTACGAAATTTGTGTGCATTTAAGAGTCAGCACTAATGACCAACCATGGTTCATTCTGTGTAACGACAATAAGAAACAAATTTTATGAAACAACAAATCTAACGATAAAACATAGAATCATGTGTAGGCTTTCACGGCCGGTGTCTAATGAATTGTCCGATGTTTCCGGGATTATGAGCCGTAGTCGCCGACTTTCCATGTGTGTCTGACGCCATTCTCAATATATTTCATCTCTCCCACATTTAAAGAACAATTTCAGTTATTCCTCTTATCTATTGTGTATGAGGTAATCTCCAAAATATTCAATTCAAACGAGGAGCAACAAATTGTTCGATAACGTAATGAAGGAGTCTTAAATGAGCCTAAAATTATTGCAAGTTTAAATTTTTCAAAAAGTGAAGGATTTCGATTTGGCGCTGCAAGCTTAACGGTAAAGCTAGCAGAACCCACAGTTAAAAAAAAAAAACAACATACGAAAGTCGGCAATGAAGGATCATAGAAGCCCAAAATTCTCAATATACTTGTTTCCCACCCAGAGTTAAAGAATATCTTCGAAAAATAGTTTCCGGATTTTATCGCGTGTGTCACAGTTAATCAACAAAACATTTCATTCAAACGAGAGGCAAAAAATGTTCAATACCGTAATGACGGAGCCTAAAATTATTGCAAGTTTAAATTTTTCAAAAAGTGAAGGATTTCGATTTGGCGCTGCAAGCTTAACGGTAAAGCTAGCAGAACCCACAGTTAAAAAAAAACAACATACGAAAGTCGGCAATGAAGGATCATAGAAGCCCAAAATTCTCAATATACTTGTTTCCCACCCAGAGTTAAAGAATATCTTCGAAAAATAGTTTCCGGATTTTATCGCGTGTGTCACAGTTAATCAACAAAACATTTCATTCAAACGAGAGGCAAAAAATGTTCAATACCGTAATGACGGAGCCTAAAATTATTGCAAGTTTAAATTTTTCAAAAAATTTAAGGATTTCGATTTGATTTTGCAAGCATAACTAAAAAGCTAGTATAACCAACAATTTTTTTAAACAACAAATCAAAAATCGGAAATGGAGTTTCATAGAAGCCTAAAACGTGTCTGAAATTCTCAATATATTTTTTCTCACCCATAGTTGAGGAATCTTTTTGAAAAATCATTTCTGGATTGAATCCCCCACATATTCAAACGAGGGACAAAAAAATGTTAAATATCATTATGTATATGAACCTAAAATTCTCAATATATTTCTTTCTCTGCCACACTCGAAGAATTATTCAAAAAAATTATTTTCGCCTCTACCACGTGTGCAAGAGATGAAACCTAAAATGACCCTACAATTATTGCAAGTTCAAAACTGCTCTTTTTTAAGGAATAAAGTGAATAGAAGGAGCGAAAGTTCGAAATTTTATTCTTATATGTTTATATCCTGTTGATGCCGCTGTGTCTGACCTTGAACGCGAAAATACTCTAAGGCGAATGAAGGTTCTATGGATTGTCACAGAATAACATCGAGAAAATCGTAGAACACAAAAGGTTTCTTCTGGTTCTAGGACGACAGGATCATGCGCAGTTGATATAGAGCGTTCTGGTTTATCAAGGATAATTTCGGACTGATGTATCCTTTGTTCTGGTTTCGACTGCGAAATGATCCTAAACTGTTTTGAACCGTCCCGAATCGTTCTTGCTCTCGAGGCTGAACTGTTGAGAACTGTTCCCGTTGTTCATGCGCATTCATGTGGAAATTTGTTTGGGCTATTTGCTAGGATTTTTTTTCATTTATTTGATTTGAATAATTGATGATTTAGGTAAGATAACATTTGAACTGACTATAAGGATACGCTACATAACAAAATGGACATGATCAATAGTATTTTCTCGTCTTCATCTCTTTATATATCTTCATGATATACGGGTGGCACAGTGGTCTCCTCAGAAGCGTTCTGGTTTGAACAAGTGTCCGAGACTATTTCGGACTGTTTGAGATTTTTTGCTTGTATGCATCATGTCTTGCGCTGTTTCCAAACAGTTTCGGATGTTAGAACCAGAACAAACCTAAAGATAGCGTTCGAATGAGGTGGGTATATGGTGCATGATATAGGTCATTTTTAAATTATAGCACGAATTAGCTGTTGTCTGCAGGTTTTTATATTAAACATTTCGTCTACTACTGTGAAGTGATATACTTGCTGCGCATCGCAGATCACTTCGACCGTTGTCGCATCGCCTCTAATAAAGTCAGATATAAAAATCTGTAGACCACGGCTAATAAACCCGGAAACATCCAACCATTTGGATTCAAGTAATTATTGTAATTAAGAACCAATGCATAAAGTATCTTTGGCGATAGTGATAGTTTATGGAAATGATTTACCACATATTTTTGTAGAAAACATATAATATGGTGGTGAAACATTTAGTATTAGATTAATACAGGAGTCGCCTTTCTAAGAAAACAAGGAAAACCTCGTAAGTTCGTTGGAAACGATATTTCTAATGGAAAGCAATTGAAACCCTATTTCTGTTCAATCGAAAATGGACTCAAATCATTTTTTTTTTAAATAAAACCCTGAATCCTGTGATTTTTTTCAGAACATTTGATGTAGGTACCTGGCGAGAAACGAAAAAACGATTGTTTCTGCTTCATTTATCTCGAAAATCATGTTAGGAAGAGCATTTTTCAAATTTCCACATTGAAGTGTACCTCTTGTACTATAATTTTTTTGTGTCACTGTCAAATGTCTTGAAAAAATTAGGCCCGAAATTCCGTTTTTCTCGATTACATTGACCAAGAGGGCGCCTCTATTAACAAGGTCGCCCTTTGTTTCTGGAAACCGTATTAATGATCGCTTAAGAGTTGCAAGTACCCCATATTTTTATTATGAAAGTATCTGTCCACAAGTACTGGTCCCCAGTTATTCGGAAGATTTTTATTGTTCTTTTTAGCTCGGGTTGGGTTTGGGTAAATCACAAAATAGGTACTGACCGGAAAGCATTGTTTCGAATAATGAACAAATGAAATGGTGGTCAACTTTCCAATTCCTAAAAACTGAAACCGACTCTACAGAGTCCCGTGCGAAAGTTTTCACTTGGCGAATGCACAACACAACGAACAAGGGGACATAACGGCACAATTTCCGAGCAAGAAGTCGTCGAAGACGACTACATTGTAATGCAAATAAATAAGAAAGGAACCGTTAGGTGCGGAGTTGTACCAATCGATTATTACAGACGCGGACAGGTACCACCGACCCACTTGAGGTTCTGTCGAGTAAAAGGATTGCCTGCATTCTTGCACAGCTTGGTGGATACGCGGGTGAAGAGCTTTAGCCCAAAAATCACAGTTATAACGACGTCCGCAATCGACTTTCTAATCGGCCTCAACGGTCACCTCGCGGAATTGCCATCAGGTCTGGCTCAAAATTACCGACGATATACGTGAAAACTCCCACATAACGCATAAAAAACCATAAGGAAATTCGAAATATTCTTCAAGTATGTTTTTGCCGTTTTCACTATAATGCCATAAAACCCTTCTAATTATATCCGTTCCCTTGAATATCGACAACTCAAAACGCTCAAACAAGCATTAAAATAACATAATCCAACGCATAACCTTCAAGAATGCAACAACCAGAAGGTGAGTAGACTATATGGACATTTCCTAAACTCGCACAAGTTTCGATTTTTGAGAGTTATCGTTCGTAGGGGGACGACAGCTGGTTAACGGAAAAATAGATTTAAATAGATTTAAACAGATTTTTTTTATAGATCTCCTGATGAAGCCGACTTGATTTGTTAAAGGCGCGTTGAGAGGAATATTGCAATTTTGGTAATTGTAAACAGTTTTACTTGCAGCGTAAAACAGTTTCTTGAACCATATATCCGCATAGAGCTGGAAA